AAATCATAGGACCAAGATCAGATCCACGACCAAAAAAGCATGTGATGAAAGAAGTTGTTTTAGAAGATTAAACCCTTTTTCAAGAGTTATTTCTAACTCATCTGAGGTTATAATAAGATTAAGAGGTAATGCACCCGCAATGCAACTTGTATAGAATAAGGTAATTGAAGTATTTAATAGTTCAAATAATGCAGATGCATCTATATAACAGAGTTCACCTGCTTGTCTAATTTTTTCGTGAACACGGCTCATTAAATTTGTAACTACACATAAAATAAATGCAGTATTTGATTGTGAATTATATTCCTGAAGTACTGCACGGCCTTGTCCTGAATTATTGTAATTGTCAACCTTATATTTAAGACGCTAAAACATTGTTATGCCATTTTGTCTACCATGCTGTTTATCGTGATATTGTTTAAACAGATTTAATACATAACCATAATCAGGATTTTGCGCACGGTCAGCTAACAGTTGTATAAGTTCTTGATCATTGCTTGCATGAAGATAAATACTATCCTCATAAGTATGTAGAGCTGTTGCTAGTGAATGACCACTAGCAAAAAGATCAAGATACTTTTTGCGAACCTCTTCTTTAACAGGACAGAAACTAAGAGATTCAGCAGAATTTAGAACATGGTTATGCACAAATTTAATGTTAACCTCAAGTGGATGGGTAGTTTGAAGGCACCAACGTTCAAGCCGAAGACTAATTGTTGCCTTACATTCTGTATTTCTAACACGTGGTGAATAAGGCTTTTTTAATAATGGATTTCCCTGCTTTTGCTTGACTTGATTACTGTGAATACAGTGACGTAATTCACGAAGAATAACTTTTTTTCCTTGGATTTGAAATCCTTTTGTTTCACACATCATTGCTTTTGATATTTCTTTATATTCGGAAAACCATTGATGTGTGCCTTCAACATTATCAACATTAACAAAAATTTTTATTTCAAAATGATCAATTGAAAACCCTTCCGATGTAATATGATTTGGAAATTGTTGAAATTCAGTAACCATATAATTATAGTTTTGTGGGAGAATAGCCACGACATTTTCTAGTAATGATAGTTCTGAGAACTCTGGTATACTATCTTGTCTTTCTATATCAAGTGACATTTCTATTATATTACGTGCTCAAACAGGTTAATTAATAAAACATTAATAATATAGACTTCAAAGGCTGTTTTTTTAATATCACGAGATATAGTCTAACACAAAACACATCTTTACTGTTTGTTGATGTTTCTTGGTAAGTAACAATACTATTGTAGGTTTCTTGAGTTAGGTTTCTTGGGTCGTATTACAGATATGAACGTTCGATTGCCCCTTTGTTTGTTTTCTACTTTTAGCAAACGAAAGATACTTTTTTTAATTTCCTTTTATATTACATTAATCATTACATCATGTTTTAAACACTCATTTATTTAACTTACACTTATTTAATTTACTATTACACATATTTATTTAACTTATGCTTATCATTATTTACTTATACACATTTAACTTATACTTATTTAACCTACCATAATATACTTGAGCCATGCAGGAACCAGGGACATGCGAAATCTGATATAATTTAATCAATTCTGTTTTTGATAACAATAAATTATGTGGTTTACTGTGATTAACTGATGATTAAAATTAAAGTATCGATTTAATAACATAATATCTAAAATTTTATCTCGTAAAAACAAAATACTTCAATT